CTGCGAGTTGCTCGTGGGCGTGGTATATCGCAGCCCATTGAGCCGCTGTTTGGACTGGTTGCCGCATGTCCGCAACCACATGAGTCGTGAGATGTTCCTACTCATGGGCGATTTCAACTTTCCCCGAATACAGTGGCCTGAAGCTGAACTTCTCCCCGGCCACTGTGAAGTCGAGAGGAAGTTTACGGAGTTGCTATTTGAAACTGGGGCCATACAGCACACCAACCAACCGATACGCATTACTGCGCGCGCAGCTCCATCATGCTTAGATCTACTTTTGACTAGCTGTGAGCAGCGTGTGCATAACATTCAAGTCTTAGAGCCTCTGGGAGCGAATGACCACTCGATGATTACGGGCAGCTTGGAACTACCACTGCCGTATTCTCCCCCACTGGAGCCGGCTTTCAAGTATTAGAAGGCGGACTTTGATGACCTCATTCGAGCAGCGAGCCAGACGGACTGGTCTTTACCACAGGATTCATCTATTGAAACCTGTTGGACCATCATTAAAGAGGGAGTGAAATTGTTGTGCGCCCGATTTGTACCCCTCAAATTTCGAAAAGTTGGGCCAGTCAAACCACATTGGTTCGACAAAAGTACAACAAACTGGCCCGACGACGACGCAGACTATGGAACAAGTTCGTGTTATCTGGCTCTGATGAGGAATACAATGCGTACAAGGTACAGCGAAATCGCTGCAAAGACGCGAAAACAAGAAAACGCAGAAGCTTCGAAGAGGAGCTTGCAGCCGCCGCAAAAACTTCTCCCAAAACGATCTTCTCATGCGTGAGACGGCGCCTGAGGCCTGTAACCAATGTCCCACTGTTAGAAGGCTCCGATGAACAGCCCCTAACCTTGAGTACAGATCGTGCGTCCGCATTGGCGACGCACTTCTCCTCCATATTTGCAAGTGACCACGTATCTGTAACGAGTTCGACGAGTACCGCTCCAGCCGAACTTAACAGCCTGGACTGCAATATTGAGGATGTGCGCAAGCTTCTAGCAAATCTTGACGGAACAAAACCTGCTGGGCCAGATGGTATACACCCACTGATCCTCAAATCCCTATCGGCCATCATCGCACCTTCTGTAACTGAACTGTTTAACAAGTCACTATCTACTGGACTGTTACCAGACGATTGGCAATGCTCAGTCGTAAAGCCTATACCGAAAGGTGGTAACCCAAGTAAAGTGGATAACTACCGGCCGATCTGCCTGACTGCTGTTTTGGCAAAGACGCTCGAGAAGATCGTGTAGAAGAACATTCGGCAGCTTCTCGAGTCGAAAAACCTGTTGACCTCCGCACAGCATGGTTTCATGAAGGGTCGCTCATGCATCACCAACCTGCTGTTGACAAGGCACGAGTGGTTGCAAGCGATGAACCAAGGCCATTCAGTCGATGTCATTTACATTGACTTCAGTAAGGCTTCTGACAAGGTTAACCATGCAGTGCTCCCTGACAGGCTGAAGATGTGCGGTGTTGGTGGTTCGCTACACAAATGGATCAGAAATTTCCTTGTGGATCGGAAGTGGAGAGTAAAGGTGGACAACCATCTAACAGACTGGTATCCATCGAGCAGCGGCGTGCCCCAAGGCACTGTACTGGGACCGATATTGTTTCTACTCCATATAAACGATGTGTCTCAGCTACTACAAGCACATTGTGCTTTGTTCGCAGATGACTTGAAAGTGTGGAGAGTAATCCGCACACTCAATGATTGCGATTTACTTCAGCAGGATCTCGACCGCCTCTCGACATGGTCTACAGAGGTTAACCTTCCGATCAACCCTGCCAAGTCGCAATTCATGAGGTTGGGTAGGTGTGATCACGGCCGAACGTACACAGTGGCTGATCAACCGTTGCATCCCGCTCCTTTCGTGCGCGACCTCGGTGTACTCTCACGCTGCGACCTAAAGTCTATTGACAACACGAATAGGCTGTACCAAAACAGCCTTCGTTTGCTTTGGGCTCTCAGGCGCAGCTTTAGCACTTGGTCCGAAGAGATTGCTACTCGCCTCTTCGTCTCGATAATACGACCAATGCTGGAGTACGGCACTCCCGCATACTGTCCCATCACCCGGGGCGAAGTAGAAAAGCTTGAGCGGGTGCAGCATGTAGCCACCAGGCTGATTCCCAACTTACGAGGTATGACATATGAAGACCGATGTAAGAAACTAGGGCTGTACACCCTAGCATATCGTCGGCTGAGGGTTGACCTAAGCATGACGCACCGGATATTACATCTGAGTGATTACCCCATGTTAAGACAACTGCTTCATCTGCGCACACCAAGCAGCAGGCGAGGACACCGGTACAAACCTATCGTACCGCAGTTGAAGCGGGTAGCTCACCAACTCTGTTTCGAACGTAGAGTGGTGAATACCTGAAACAACCTGCCGCAGCCGGTAATAGAGGCGAATTCAGTGGCCAAAATTAAGAAGCTTCTAGACAAACACATTGCAGAGGCAAAATACAAAGAGCGAAAGGAAAATTAATAGGTTAATATCCAACAGCGACAACTGATGTAGCTACACAGAGTATGCTCTACCCGCTGCTACTAATCAGTATTAGTATCAGTATCAGAACGTTTACTTACCTTGGGTATGTACGCAATGCACTACCGGAGAATTAGAGGAGACTTGATCCTCATTTACCGTATTCTAACAAGTAAGATCGGTCCAGACTTGTCCTGGCTATTTGGGTCCGCCAAGCTGACTAGTCTCCAAGGTCACCCGTTGAAGCTGCACAAACTGCGCTCTGACCGGGTAAGGACGGAAACTCGCTTGTCGTGCCAGGTTATTGAACGCTGGAACTAGCTTCCGGAACAGGTAGTTAGAAAAGCTACGGTTGAGGGTTTCGAGCGCCGGCTAGATGCTCTTGGATGGTAGTACCAAACCTACCCGTTCGCATAACCGAGTTGTATCTTCAACTTTCTGTCCGCTTTTCTCTAGTTCTTCTCATACCTTGGTGTTACTGCTATTTAGCTGATATTCCTCCTTTTGTTTTCTTAGCTTACCCTTCACTCTTTCTTACTTCACACAAACCGTTTTGGGCTTTACAACATCTCAAGCTGATCTATCAATTCCCCGTTCCACCATATGCAAATAGAGAAACATTCATGGGATTATCCTATCGTTCCTGTCCCAACTGAACTTGATCTGTGGGTGTCACCTCCCTCTGTGTATACCAATTTGCCTGTTCCCATGGGACAAGTTACATAAGTCGCGACACGAGGTGTCTGTCTGAACGCGTCCGCTAGCATCACTCAGCGTGGCTAAGCTCAGAATCGCATAGAACGAACACCACCGCGATACTCGCGTACGTAGTCCAAACGGATAATTCCGTCCGTATCTTTAAGACTCTCCATCCGTCTATTTCAAACTTATCATGTGCCGAACACTTGCATTGGCGGAGGTGGTCGCGATTAGTCTCAGCAAATCTCCATTATGTGTGTAGAAACAGTTCATCAATGATTTGGCTTTACCTTGGCCAGCAGTTATCTTGTCAGCTTCCCTGAGAAATAATCACACCAACTTTCTTCACTTTGACCCTGCCATTTCCTAGTTACTTAATCCATCCATTTTATCCTAAATATATAAATGTATGGTATTTTACCTGACGAGGAATAACCGAAAACGAGCTTGTTTGCCACCCTGGCAATGACACTCAGATCATGTGAAAAGGTAGCGTTATTTAGTAACCAACTCGTAATTTACCTTGATCCGAATATGATGGGCTATATTCACATTGGGCACTCACCAGACCCGAAGATTTCAAGAGTGGTTGAAAAACGTTTAGACACATACGTTTTCAAATTTTGGATTTCACTTTAACTATTTCACTATTATATGAATTGCACACATTGGTCTATGTCGCCACAGATAGACTTTCTCGGAGCAAGTGAAAAATACGTATTATCAACTGTAAAGATTGTATTGCTCGTGAAGGTTCGGTCAAGTGGCTTCTCCCAGAGCACCACAATATCACTCAGGGTAGCATGCGAACCGAGGTTCTTTTCCAACGCAGCGCTTGTGACAGTCCTGATGGATGGACTGAAGTGGATAGGGTTGTAGATTACTAACTGACGTGCGCAGGTTAGTTATCTGTACCCTGTTCTAGCTTCGGCTTCGGCAAATGGGGTCCATCGCACTTACGGCGGAACCGTGATCACTGGAGCGCTTGAAAAACTGGGGTATATTATGATACTCCACTGACACCCCACACCAATGGAGGTGGGTAGAGAGAGGATCATAAGATTGTGAAGCGTTATGGTTGGCAGTTTCGATCAAATTCCCTGGGAACTTCAGTGTAATCTGAATGTGGGTATCTAGTGATCAGTACAGCGGGCATGACGGAAAGTCAGAGGCCAGCCGTCGGTGCGGTGGTTGGCGGAAAGTAGATGATCTTTCAATACTTGCGAGTTGCAGTAGGCGCCTTGGAACAGCAGTTATTGTGAAACAAGTCCTACTCAGCCTGACTGGAAACAAGTGTTGAGATCAGCGAAGAGCAGTAACAAGAAATGCATACAAAATTTGCCTGGTTCACAAGTGGACATGTTCGCGAGTATACTTTGCTCCCAAAGAACACGTGCTTCCTTAGCAAATTAGTGACAAACTTTCAGTGCCATTAGTGAAATCTAATTTCCTGATAACCTTCTGGGGGTCTGTAAGTCAATGAAATGTGCATGGTCCGACGGATGCAAGAGAGCAACTACGTACTTACTCAATCATATGGCCAGCAACAGCAATTAACCTGTTAGCCGAATAATACAACACGACCACATTACATCGGTCGATGTATCACTTATCTCCCTAACGGTTAAAGTGACACATATACATTGGCCTTTGCAACGCTCGCGCTTGTAAAACAACAACAACAACAACAACAACAACAACAACCGGTAGATGATCATTTTCATGATAAATTTGGTCCATCTGTAGCACAGTGACGGTCTATGTTCTCCTAATGCCTATGGGCAGTTTGTGCTCTACAGACTCACCTTTTGTTTGTGGGCGATGCAGCTGATTGAGTGAGACTAGTAGCCTCTGAGGACTCATCGAAATCGGTTGACCAGTCGGGGCTGCAAAAGCTTTGCCCAGGGAGTTCGATGTGGCACCAACAAAACCGACCGGGAAAATGCGCGTTGACGAAACGTGTGTAGTAGGAATCTGGAATAAGAGTAGGTGGACTTAACATTGACCAGTTGGAAATGGACCACTCAATGGTTACATTCAACACCATGAATCTGTGGAGTAAGCGCAAGAATCCAGTCATCGAACAGTTTTGTTTGGTATCAAATTTTGTTGGATCCGGTTGTCATAACTGTCAGTTGTAGCAGTTTCAAGAGTACCGATATGATCTGATTCCTGAATATTAATTGTCTTCAGTAACGTAAGGTTACGCTTGACACCACAAAACAAGCATGCCAGTTTCATCCCCCACATTGACTGAGCGGTTTCGAGAGAATTTTATGGTTCTCGGACTACATTAGCCCGGATTCTACGATCTGAGACTAACACTTGCTTTTTGACAGCATTTCATTCGGATAAGGCTTCAAAAACTGTGTAATAGGGCAGAAATGTAGGATGTGCTTCGCACATAATCAGTCATGGAATGCAGTGGTGTATTTGACAGCAATTTCCGGCTGGAATACGTAATCACTTCACTTAAACTATGCCACTGCAAGTGCTGCGGCGAGACTCGCTACGCTGTTCATCACAATCTACCATGATGTGTCGAATAGCATTAGAATGAGGACAAAAGATATGCCTCACAAGTTACACTATTGCCCGAAAAAAGTAACTAAGAATCCGGAGTGCCAATCACCGTTTAATGTCGCAATTCTAACAGTGAAATCTGGGGACCAATGGTTGTGAAGAGCATAACGGGTTATTAATATACTACTGAATATGGGTTTTAGATGGAAAAGATGGGCTTCCAAACCAGATCGTCCTCTACATGGCCTGGAAAAGTCTAGTTGGCCGCTATGTCCGATTCGAAAGTGATAACAGTACACATACATCGGCTCCGTCAGGATCAGAGTTCGTAACTCTAAGCGGCTGCCATCCCCATTTTGCAGCCCATTCAACTAAGCCAGGGAGAACAGCGACGGATGGTTATGATTTACAACTTAACTGCGATACAGCGCGTCTTATTCCCACTGCTTGAAAGTTACAAACGTTGCAGAGAACAGAGTTGGCCCCGAAAGACACGATGCCCACTGACAATAGTTATGTACAACATAGCATTTAGCAACGGTTAGGACGGGTATTTTAGTGTACTCATAAGTATGGGGTTTTTGATGAAATTGATTGAGAGTTCATCACAGTAGCTTTAATTAAGTGTTTTTTGAGCATGTGGGACTATCTGGTTTCGAAGTTGCGGGCTGAAATTTCCAGTTGTATCATATTAAAAGTAAATGAAATCTTCAGTTGCTTATATGCAGTGTCACACATCTATCCAGGTCTCAATTCAGTAAGCAATCTGTCTGTCCAACATAACCGATTTATGAATTTAAGTAAGTCAATAATAAACAAAAAGACATGCCTAATGGAGCACCCAAGGTGTAGAAGCATATCGAACCCGAGAAGAAAGAGTAAGTGTCAGGTGTATGATGATTACAAGGAATAAACATTTAGAGAATGAGGAGGGCTGAGATGTATGTTAAGTTCGCCGGAATTAAAAGTGAGAAGCAAGCGAAAAAATTTTCATTTTTCATGTTGCAGCACATGTTCAACGTAAAAAGAGCATAACCGTTTCCTTTTTCTCAGCGGATCGGGTGCAATATGGGGATATTATTGGGGACACAGTTAATTAAGCGACACGTCTGCCGGCGCATCAAATGATAGATTTGATATGATTAGACTTCACGTTTGTTTTCATGATCCAAGCAGTAAAAAACTGCAAGTATGCTTTCTGGTAATTATGAAACAGAGAGGTACGCTTTTGCAGTAAACTAGCCATTGTGATTTACATGCAAAATATACTTCAGAAATAAGAACTTTGCTTTACCAACTGACGGTAACTTGAGAAATAATCGCCTGGTAGTTCTCTAGGCTTTAGCCACCCACAGTGTTTCAGAGGGAACAATGACAATGGGCAGAAAAGTTGCATACTATGGAAAGGTGTACACACAAATCTGCATTGAACGGGTTTAATGAGCAGTTGCAAAGTTCATTCCCAAACCGACGAATCTCTCAGTTATATCAGGCAAGGAGTTCAAAGAAGTGGCTATCAGTCACCAAGTTAAGTGCAGCATAACAGAAACTTCCCATCGTATTGAACATACCGGTGAAGCGGCATCTTATTACTATTAGGCAGTCCTGCTTGTTACAGCACACAAGAAAAAAGCGGTAAGTGCTAATGGGAAGCTTCGAATGTTGCAAAAAGTAAATAACTTTCTTGACGAACGCTAAGTAACAAAGAAGTGACAGTTGCCGGAATTTGCACTTATGATCTTAATTATTGGAAAAACAGAACGAAAACAACCAAACTGCCCAGTTTACGGGTACAAGCATTAAAACACTTGGAAAGCAAGCAACCCAGAGACCACCGGAAAACTGACATGACACACCTGGATTTGCACTATGCTGCTATTAACGAAAACGAAAACATCACATAATTCATACCTTAACGGTTCCCTAACTTAACACATGAGCAATCTATCGTTGAAACAATGAAGATCGCTGTGCAGCTAAGCCAAACAAGCAAGCTTCAAACAGATGGGACGGCAGAGGGATTTAACTGAAGGCAAATACAGTGGAACCCGCTTTATTGTCCATCCGGTTTATAGTACACCCCGCTTTATCGACCAGTTTTTCAAAATGCAAATTCTTTTCTCATAAATATGCTAACTTTTCGCCTTCGAATTGCCCATTGCCAGGGTAGTCCCACCGCTTAATTGCCCAGCTGCGTGGGATGTGCTCTTGTTGTAGAAGCTGCACGTTTGTTGGCACATGAGTTGCAAGGTAATGGCCCTATCTCTGGGACGAGATGGAGTAGGGTCGATGCAGTTGAGATGTTGGACCCACCACAGTTGTTTAGCGGGCTGGGCAACTAGGGCATTGGCATGAACACAGCTCAGGACGCAGATTGCTGACTTGAAGAGAGCCCAGTAGATCCATTGGTGACACTGAGGAGAGTTCAGTGGGAACTGTGCTGGAGGTGTTGGTCGCGTTTTCACTGAGTTCCACTCCGTTGTGATCTGCGCGGATGAATGGACCCTTGGCGGCAGTTTCCGTAACCAGAGCTCCGCTATGAACTGCGTTGTTTAGTCCTCTGCATAGCGACCGTGTTGTTCAGGACCAAACGTTTATTGGCGCCAGTGAAACCCGGGTGAGTCTGGCAGGACTGTGCCAGACCTTTAACACTTACACACAGTGCAGATGACTGTGATCAAACCCTCGCTCTATTCAAAACTCGTGAGTACTGTGTTGGTTACATACAAGTATGGCCAGTAACAGAAAGGATTCGTCTTTCACAAAAAGTTGGACATTTTGGACGAAATAGAAACTTCTCCACCAGGAACCCCGCAGAACAAGCTGTCGCGTGATTTACACATTTCTCGTTGTACCCTAACAAAATGGAACTCCCGCAGAATCTGTCGCTTGGCACTGTAATCTCTCAAAAAAGGAAGCGATGTGGAAAAGGATGAAGAAGTTGAACCTGAATTGAAAGACTGAATGATATCGGTTCTTGAGTACAACCAAACAGTTAGAGGCACGCTTCCGAAGAAAAATGCAGAAGAATTCGGGAAAAGACTTGGAAAAACCAATTTAGCCGCGGAAGGATGGTTGCAAAGATGGAAGAAAGGAAATCAAATTGTGTATAAACGTGGGCATGGCGAAAAGAGTTCCGCGGACAGAGCAGTCTGTGAAAATTGACTGAAAGATCGACTGCCTGGACTTTTAAATGCATTTGATGATGACAACATATACAATGCAAAAGAACCAGGTCTTTTTTACTAAGCAACTCCAAAGGGCTCTTGTGATTCTCTGCCGACAAGCTCAGCGGATCGAAAAAAGTCATGCATAGGATCACTCTCCTGTGCTACGCAAATATGTCAAGCACGGATAAAAGAAAACTGGTTTTGATTGGGAAAAGTAAGAAACCACCATATTTTAAAGGCGTGAACGTGGACATACTTCTCGTAACCTACAAAGATAACGAAAATGCGTGGATGGCGAAAGCACTTTTACCGAGTATATACTAGAATGGGACAAGGACCTAGGTCAAAGTGGCCGGAAAGTTTTGTTGCTTGTGGATAACTGCACAGCTCATTCACAGGTAGGTATGAAAAGTAGTCAAATGGACTTTTTGCCGGAAAACACGACCAGCATACCTCAAACCATGGACCAAGGTGTGATTATGAATGTGAATATCCATTACAGAAAGGAACTTGTGGACCGAATTCTTTATCACATCGAAAGCAACATGTATGGATCATCGTCGGCGGTGGAGGTCAGCGTCAAGAGTTCTGTGGTCGAAGCAGTTCAGTTGGTTTCAAAAAGTTGGAGGCAAGTTACCGGTGCAATAATAAAAGCTTGCATTCGGCATGCTGGGTTCAGTCGATTGGCGTCCGATGCATTTTCCGATGACGCCTCCATCGCTGAGGACGAGATTAGCGCCTGCACAATCTTAGTCATTAATTCAGAAGAGTTCGTCGCCATTGACAACGATGTGGAATGCACCTTAGATCTGACAATTGTTGAAGATGAAATCTTCAGTGAAATTTTAGAGAACCGACTAGAACAGAAAGAAGACAGCGATTCAAATGATGACGGGCCGGTTGCCTTCGTGATTAACAGCAATCAGCGCGTGTCGCATTCAAGGGCGAAGAACTGTGTGAATGATCTGTATAGCTAAGGACCTTTGCATGGGCTAGGCAAGAATTTCTTGTTCAAATTGGACTTCATCAGTGCAAAAGTGGCTGGAGTAGCAGCTCAAAAGAATGTACGTTGGATTGTTTTCTCACCAAGAATATACAGTAGTTCCAGCTTCTATAGCTATCCAGGTAAGATGCTTTATGGTATAATTTTGAAAGTATAGGTCCTGCTTGTAGTAATTGTGATTACAATTAATGGTATCATTGTTTTTAACACTTCCGTTACCGACCGCTTTGTACTAGTTGTTTAAATTCACAAGTTTTGAATACAACATCTTCAACGCG